GGGGCTGCAGCCTACACTGTCGCAGGTGACTCAAGGCAACCCAGCTCCAGGTTGAGCTGTTGTTCAGCATCTTAGCTGTAGAGGGCAGTGTCACTGGCCCTCATCTGTGGGATCTGTCCCAAGCCAGATCTTAACCAACGCGCCACTTGGCTGGCCCCCAGGTTTTATTGTATATAAATGCCTAGTCACTATGTTGTACACCTGAAATTAGTATAATATTTTCTGTCAAGTGGAAATTAAAAATAAATTTTAAAAAATTTATAATAGATCACCTTAATAGAATGAAACATAAAAATCACACGTTTATCACAATAGAGGCTAAAAAAAGCACTTGATAAACTACAGCATTTTCCCATGATAAAAACTCTGAACAAATTGTATATAGAAGAAACACACCTCAACATAATGAAGGCCATATATGACAAACTCAGAGCTAATATACTTAATGGTGACAAATTGAAAGCTCTTCCTCTAAGGTCAGGAATAAGACAGTGGTGCCCACTTTACTAAGCACTCCTATTGACACACAGTACTGGAAGCTTTAGCTAGAGCAATTAGGCAAGACACAGAAATAAAAACATCCAAATGGGACAGGAAAAGTAAAATTATTCTTCCAGGCAACATGATTTTATATATTGAAAATCCTAAGGACTAACCAACTAAACTGTTGGAATCTATCAATAAATTCATTGAAGTTGCAGGCCATAAAATCAGCATACAGAAATTGGTTGTGTTTTTATACATTAACAATGAAACATCTGAAAAGAGTAAAACTATTCCATTCACAATAGCATGAAAAACAATACTTAAGAATAAATTAACCAGGGAAGTGAAAGATCTATACAATTAAAATGATTAAACTTTGATTAAAGAAATTGAGGAAGACATAAACAAATGGAAAGACACCCATGTTCATGGATGTTAATATTATTAAAATGTCCATACCACCCAAAGCCATCTATAGATTCAACACAATCCTTATAATTTCAGTGACATTTTTTTTCACATAAATAGAAAAAAATCTTATAATTTGTGTGGAACCATTAAAGACCCCAAATAGCCAAAGTGATCCTGAGAAAGAACAAAGCCAGAGGCATCACAATTCCTGATTTGAAACTCTACTACAAAGCTATAGGTATTAAAACAATATGGTGCTGGTATAAAAATAGACACATAGACCAACAAAAGAGAAGAGAGAGCCAAGAAATAAATTCTGCATATATGGTCAACTAATGTTTGACATAGGAGCCAAGAACACTCATTGGGGAAAGGATAGTCTCTTTAATAAATGGTGTTGGGAAAACTGGATAACCACGTACAGAAAAATGAAATTGTGCCCTTACCTTACACCAGTCACAAAAATTAAATTGTTGAAAGTCTTAAATATAAGATCTGATACTGTAAAACTAGAAGTAAACATAAGAAAGAAGCTTCTTGACATTGTTTATTACAATGATTTTTTAATGTATGATCCAAAACAAAAGTGACAAAAGCAAAAATCAATAAGTGAGACTACCACAAACTAAGAAGCTTCTGCACAGCAAAAGAAGCAATCAAAAAAAGAATGGGTAACCTGCAGAATGGAAAACATATTTGCAAACCATATATCTGACAAGGAGTTAATATGCAAAATACAAACAAAAACAAAACCAAAAACCTCATATACAATGCAATAACAAACCCAAGCAATCCAATTAAAACATTGGCAGTGAAACTAAATAGACATTTTTCCAAGGAAGGCATTCAAATGGCCAACAGGTACATGAAAAGATGCTCAACATCACTAATCATCAGGGGACTGCAGATGAAACCATAATGAGATATCACCTCACACCTGTTAGAATGACTATTATCAAGGAGACAAGAGATAACAAGTCCTGACAAAGATGTCAAGAAAGGGAACTCTTGTGTTGTTGGTAGGAATATCAATTGGTTGGGCCACTATGGAAAAGAGCATGGAGGTTCCTTCAAAAATTAAAAATAGAACTACCATATGATCCAGCAGTTCCACTTCTGGGTATATATCTAATGGAAATGAACACAGGATATTGAAGAGAGGTATGCACTCCCTTGTTTATTACAGCATTTTTCACAATAGCCAAGATCACACACACACACACAGGAATATTATTCAGCCATGAAAAAGAAGGAAATCCTGCCATTTGTGACAACATAGATGGACCTTCAGAGCATTATGCTAAGTGAGATAAGTCAGACAGAGAAAGACAAATACTGTATGATACCACTTCTATGTAGAATCTGAAAAAGCCAAACTTGTAAACTGAGAGCATGGAATAATAATGATTAACAGGGGTTGGCAGGTGGGGGAATTGTGTCGATGTTGTTTAAAGGAACAAACTTATAACCAGTAGATAATTAAGTCCTAGACATCTAGTGCTTAGCATACTGATTATTAAAAAAATACTGTATTATAAACTTTAATGGTGCGAAAAGAGACTAGATCTTAATTGTTCCCACCAGAAAAAGAAACAATTAGGTGACATGATAGAGGTGTTAGCTGACTTTATTTTGGTAATGATATTGCAATATATAAATGTATCAGACCAACATGTTGTAGACCTTAAACCTATACAATGTTATATGTTAATTATATCTCATTAAAATAAATAAATACAATGCACTTTTAACCTGGTTTATGCTTATCTCTCCTTTCTTATTCTTCATCTGCCCTAGTTAATGTCATCTTTGCATTATGATAACTGTGCATGTGTTATGAACTGCGTCTGTATTGCAAACAATTGTCTGTATACTGATGTCCTAATCTGTGTATATAGACCCAAAGATACTCTTGGATTCAATGTGTTATTATTGTCATGCTCCCCCCCAACCCCCACTGCTTTCAGGACATGTCCTTTGCCAGCAGATGAGATGAGATGAGATTTCACATGACCCAGCTTCACACAGTATTCAGGTTTCCCCTCTTCCTGTGATTCCTGTCCTACTGAATGGTACTACTATACTTCCAAGCAAATGGATGCCCTACTTATCTTTCTTCTCCCTATAAATATAGTTTAAACTATAAATATAGTTTACCATGTCTTTTAAATTTACCCATTTAGATTTCTCTTCAATCTCACTTCTTTTTCATTCCTCACAAGCTCTCCCTTGCTTTCAAGTTGGAGTGCGTGGCAAAATGGATCTAAACTGCCCTCAGGTTCTTGCAGTCTTTGGGAAGAGGGTCAAAGATTCAGTTCATTTTGATATGTTTTGTTAAGTCAAGAGTATATGTTACAATGTCTAGTATAATATGCAAACAGAAGAGTCAAAGAATGTATAACTTCCAAACTAACAGAGGAAAAATGAAATAATAAAAATGATTGATTATACAACTTATGAAAATTTGTGGAATACAGTGAAAGTAGTGCTTGAAGGGCAATTTATAGCATTGAATATATATGTTACAAAAGAATAAAGATCTGAAATCAATAACCTAATCTTCCACTATGGGATATGAAGAGAAAATTAAATCCAAATAAGCAGGAGAAAAGAAGTAATAAAAATTAAAGCAGAAATCAATGAAATTGAAAACAGGAAATCAATAGAGATTTTCAATGAAGCCAAAATCTGGTTCTTTGAAAATACCAACAAAACTGATAAGCTAGACTAAGAAAAAAGAGAGAAGACACAAATTTCTAGCCTTAGAAATAAAATATGGGTTATGAATTCTGATTTTTTAGACATTAAGAGGATATGAAAGGAGTACTATAAAGAAGTGTATGCTGACAACTTTGATAAATGCACCAATTCCTTGAAAGACAATTTACCAAGTATGCAAAGTTGGTTCAACATTAAAAAAAGCAAAGCATTACATCACAACAGACTAAGAAGAAATGTCATGATTATATCAATAGACAAAGTAAAAGCATTTGACAAAATACAACACTGATTCATTATAAAAACTCTTGGCACAAAGTAGGAATAGAGGGAAACTTCCTCAACTTAATAAAGCAACATTTACAAAAACCCTACAGCTACCATCATACTTAATGGTGAAAAACTATAAGCTTTCCCTCTGAAATCAGAAACAGGCAAGGATATGCCCGGTCACCACTCTTGCTGGATATTCTGTTGGAAGTCCTAGCTAATGGATTAAGAAAAGAAAAGGAAATAAAAGATATATAGGTTGGGAAGGAAGAAATAAAATCATAGATGACATGATTGTCTATGTAGAAAACCCCAAAGAATCAACAACAAAAAATTCATGAAAATAAGTGAATACAGAAAGTTTGCAGGATGTAAGGGTTAACATACAATAAACAAACAAACAAACAAACAAACAAACAAACAAACAAACAAACATTGTTTTTCTATGTACCAGCAATAAGCATTTGTATTTTGATGTTAAAAACACAATGCCATTTACTTTAGCACCAAAAGAGAAATACTTAGATATAAGCTTAACAAAACAAGTAATTATGGTTGTTGTCTGGGGATACACGTAACCAATATATCCCTTATCCGTCCTAATTCAATATTTAGTTGCTAGAAGGGACTTGGGTTTTAGGGGGCTCAGAAATTGGAGCTGGCTATTCAGCTCATGGAATTCACATGGTGCCTCCATCTCTCTCCAGGTGGTAGAGGCAAATTTACTGAGATTAAAGCTGATTAAGATTGGCCTATGAACCAAAGTAGCAGTAAACTGGCAAGTGTAGCTGGAACACAAAAGAAACTAAGGCTGCTTTAATAGGATAAGGTCTGAGAACCAGAGAATCCTATAGGACTGGGAATGGAAACAGGAGAAACAGAAGCTCCCAAGATAGAGGGACTTTATCCAATCTCCTGGTACCATGAAGATTGAAAGGGGAATGGCAGACCACCCACTGAAGGGAGCATAAATACAGGATTTTGGATGACCATATGTCAAATTATGATAAATATTGGGAAGCTTACATTGGGAATGAAACGAATGATCAAGACAGAGGGCCCTGAATTAAGGCTATGCCTTTTTTCCCTTTGAACTTTAACTTGAAAATACATACCACAGCTGCAGCCAGAGATGGTCCTGTAGGTTAATTTTCAGAGGTAGCTTGCCATCTCCTGGTACCCCTGCCATGAGTTAATAAGAAATATTAGCCATGGAAATTGCTACAACATGGACAATAAATTTCCATTTTGGTATAGACTGAAAGTTAAGGGAGATGTTGTGTCTCTTTTCTGCTAATGTTTTAGCAAGGCCTGTTTTTGTCCTTGTTGCCTCAAAATGGGGTGACTCCTTCCTCTAGGAGATGTAGGAGGTTGTTATGCAAGGAATCCCTCTTCTGCCTTTGCATTCCCACAGCTATTTACCTCCAAATAGATTAGGAAGGAACGAAAAGGCTAGGACACAAGATGCACCTGCTTTTTCCTTCTAAGAGTTAGAACTAAGCCTTTTGAGCTAGAGTTCTCAGAACTGTTTCTTCAAGGCACAGATAAAGGCATGTAAGAAGGAGGGAGACTTCAATGATAATTGCCTCCACTAGAGAATCTGGTCCAGATTTGGACCAATATTATTCTGCCACTGGGAACAGGGATTTCAGTGTGGGTCCCATTACACTATCAGGCTCTTCTCACTCTGCACTCTGCATGAGTAAGCTCTGCAGGGCACTGGGTTAGAGAGTAGTGGGTCAGAAGACATTCTTTTTATTTTATTTTATTTTTTATTGGGGAATTGAGGAATGGGAACAGCGCTGGGGAATTGGGGGAAGGGGAACAGACAAGTTGCTGTCGTTTTGTTCTTCAGTCTAGTTGTGGAGGACGTTGCTTCACT